GGCTAATTTTGAATTTATTTTTATTATTTATTTTTAGTAGGCGGGGTACAGGAAAACTCCGTTATAAATTCATAACTTCTTCATCCGACGTCCGTTTTCACCTATCTTTTTATCGTTTCATTACAATTAAAGAGATCTTCGATTCTCATTTAGATTGTTTTGGCTAAAAACCTCTCGGTCTCAAATCGAGTATTCGGGCTGCATACTGCTAAGTCGAAACTTAGAAAAATCATAACTTCCTCATACGAAGTCAGATTTGGACGTTCTTTTTACGCATGCTCAAGGTTTAACATATTCTACAACTTTCATTTAGATTGCTAAATATCGCTCTATCGTAAATTTACTTTTTACGTCGCGCTCTGTCGTGCCGGCTTCTGTCGCGAAACTTCGACACGTCACAACTTCTTCGTTATAACTCGGATTTCGGCGGGTTAAGATTATTCATTCTAAATAATCTTCTATCAAAAAGTCATTTTTGATGCTTATCGTCTCTAAATTGACTAGCCCTGATCTACGGGCGTTACAGTCCGAGATTTGGTTTTGGATCAAGTACTTGGTCCAAATGCACATCCCTAGAAGAAAATGATGGAAACACACATGAAAATGATTAAAAAAATCCCAAATTGAGAAGCATAAAAGAAGAGGTGAGAACCGAGCTAAATGATAATGAATCTTGATGAGGATTTTAAATGTCGGAGGTTGAAGAATGCAATCAAGTTCGATGAAAAAAGCAATATAATGAGCAAAAAGATGTCACCGGCCAAATTAACTATGCTTAAGTGTTTTGATCATATCCTCACATCTCGAACCTTTGATTAATTCACTACAAGAATGTCATCCTTTGCAGACGACACCTATCCATATGAAAAGCGTCGTTGACAAAAGTCAACCTATACTAACGACATGTCATCGGTACAAATTACAAAATATTAACCATCTAATTTTGACCAGAAGGGCTATGCCGACGACAAGTCATCCGTATAGACTCGACGGGAAACCTTAAAATGTTAGAGTTATCTCGAAAAGCTTTACCAACGACTTGTCATCTGGAAAATGCTCTAAAAAAATATTTTCGATCTATTTTAATTCCTTGTAACAAAAAGTCAAGACGTCATCGTTTTTTTATCCTATCTCGACGACATGTTGTCGGTATAGTTGGATTAAAAATTAATTTTCGTTTTTTTTTTATCTGTGTCGCAGAATATGTAAACAATGTCGTTTTGTCAGGATATACCGACGACATAAAAGGGGTTCCCGATCCGCGTGAAATCCCTTTTTTATTTTATCTTATTTTTTAATGACGTGAGGTAACACGACGATGTTGTGTTTTACCTATATCGACGACATGTCGTCGGTATAGGGTTTTCCTTGTAACAAAACACCCTCTCAGCTTTCTTTTTGCAGTCGGGCACACCATTTCTCTCTTAGGTTCGTCGACGATCGAGGGGCGTTCCAGCTGCTCTCAAGTTCATCGACCACCAAGGTAAGGGTTTTGGTGCTTGATTGCTTCTTAATTTGTAATAGTTTGGTCCATGATTTGTAATAATTTGGAGCCCTAAATCATAACCCCATTTCTCTGGGAAGAAGGTTCACCACCCCCCATAGAAAAGGAATTCCGGTGATTGACCACATTTTAAGGTTAGTTTATTGAGTCTTTGTTTTCCTGCTTAAACTACCACACATAGTGACGATGAGTGTATGATTTTTTTTGTTGCTCCTTTCAATACACTATGATATGTATATGCAATTGTTTATGCACCATAATGTTGGATAAATCTTAAATGTTTTTTGAAAACAGATTTTGCTTTCTATGTGCATATATTGTGATATATACTACTTATCTACAAGTAAAAGTGGCGATAGAAGGCTTTAAGAAGGTTGAAGAGGCAGGTTATGATTTGTGAAAGCACTAACAAAGAGCATGCAACAAGGTCAACAATATATAAATATAAAAATGAATACGAAAAATAAATGAAAAAACTACAGAAATTCAAGGAATCATCTTCACAATTTGAGTTTATGTGCAACCTTATAGAACTAGCAAACAAACTTCATGTATACACTATGTTAAATTAGAAACATTACCTTAAAAAACATATTATTTTGAGTTACTTGATGTATTTTGTTATTGTTTGTATTGTAATGTGTTTAATATGGTTTCAAAATGTTTAGTTTTGTTAGTGACTTTATGTTGGTCATTACGACTTTAGCTTAATTAGATTATTAATAACAACGTACTTTTAGTAATTTTAAAATAATTATAATGTAAAGGTGAATTGATTTTAAAGAAAAATCAATAAAAACAATATATTAAATTAATTGTAAAACCAAATTAAATTAGTTTTAAAATCAAATTAATATTAATTTAAAACAAAATCAAATTAATTATCTTGAGTTACTTGATGTATTTTGTTATTATTTGTATTGTAACGTGTATAATATGGTTTCAAAGTGTTTAGTTTTGTTAGTGACTTGATGTTGGTCATTACGACTTTAGCTTAATTAGGTTATTAATAGCAGTGTACTTTTAGTAATTTTAAAATAATTATAAAGTAAAGGTGAACTAATTTTAAAAAAAAAATCAATAAAAACAAAATATTAAATTAATTGTGAAACAAAATTAAATTAGTTTTAAAATCAAATTAATATTAATTTAAAACAAAATCAAATTAATTATCTTGAGTTACTTGATGTATTTTGTTATTATTTGTATTGTAATGTGTTTAATATGGTTTCAAAGTGTTTAGTTTTTTTAGTGACTCGATGTTGGTCATTACGACTTTAGCTTAATTAGGTTATTAATAGCAACGTACTTTTAGTAATTTTAAAATAATTATAAAGTAAAGGTGAATTAATTTTAAAAAAAATAATAAAAAAATATTAGATTAATTTTAAAACCAAATTAAATTAGTTTTAAAATCAAATTAATATTAATTTAAAACAAAATCAAATTAATTATAAAATCAAATTAAATTAGTTTTAAAATCAAGTTAATATTAATATTGAAATAAAATAAAATTAATTATAAAATCAAATTGATATTATTTTCTTATTAAAACACGTTGAATCGTTGATTTTTAGTTTAAGTTTCTTCTGCATAACCATTGTGAATACTCAATCAAATCCGTCTGATTTTTACTTCTCGAGTACATATATTTTAATATACTTGTGAATATTCTATCCATCCTCGGGTATATATTTATTTATATAGCCCAAATACAATCTAACTTTCGATAACTATATATATATATATATATATATATATATATATATATATATATAATATAATATAATATAATATAATATAATATAATTTTAATAATGAAACAACACTGACAATCGACAAGAGTTCGATTAGAGAGAACCGGATGTCTTCAAAATACTTGGAATGTCTTAAAAACTTTATGAAGATTGCTGATAAACATGTCAACTCCAAAGGCATAGTAGATTGCCCGTTCAAAACGTGTGTGAATTCGTATCGACATGTTTTGCCTACGGTTTATGCCCACTAACATGACATTGGGTTTCTAGAAACATATACTACGTGAATTCATCACGGTGAGAAACATGTCGGTTCTTCGGATTTAAGCTACAATTCGACTCCAAGAACAAACATTCCAGTAAACACGCCCACAAGTAATGAGATGTTTGATGTAATTGACGATGTTATGGCGGAACAAAATACAAATCAAGAAAATATAGACGAGGAGGGGCGAGGTATAGACCCGAAATTTGATGATTTGTTTAAGGAGCTCAATACCAAGTTATACCCTGAATGTAGCAATATGTCTACCTTAAACTTTTTGGCAAGGTTATTGCATATTAAAGTGATCAATAGATGGACAAATAGTTCGTTTGGAGGGCCTGTACACATGAGATGGATGTATCCTTTTGAAAGATACATGAAAAAACTTAAAAATTATGTCAGAAACAAAGCCAAGCCAGAAGGCTCAATAGCAGAGGGTTATGTTGCAGACGAAGCTTTGACATTCTGCTATATGTATCTTGAGGGTATGCAAACAAAATTCAATCGTGTTGATAGAAATGAGGATCCTGGCCTTCCAAAAAGGCAATTTAATGTGTTCTCATCACAATATAGACCGATGTCCACTAAGAAGCTCGCCGAACTTTGTAAAGATGCCAAAAAATCATTACATTGGTTTGTACTAAACAATTGCGATGAGGATGAGCTGAAAGGATACATATCGTAAGTTTTGTGATCTATTAACTACTTTTCTGAGACTGCTATCATATCTTCAAACTATTCTAATTTTTTTGTCTCACATCCAGCGAATTCAAATCAGAATCGCCTGAAAGTGATTTGAAAACAAAATTTCCTCCATGGTTCAAAAGAAAGGTAAATACCCTATATTCTAATTTATAATATAGAACTAATTTATATTGTTACTTAAATGTACAATATTATATTTCCTTATAGATTTATTGCCTCGAAAGAGAATCACCTTCAGAGTGTACTAACGAATTAATGGCATTGGCACATGGTCCGTTAGATGGAACAGTTGGAATAGTGTCTAAGGCTGCAACTATATTAGGCAAGTATTTGATCCGGTTGTGCATAGTCCTTTTGGGTTGCCTTCACCATAGCAACTTGATGGATGATTTGTTAAAAGAGAGTAAATATTATAAGGAATAATATATGGTTATTTAGATTAATATAAGTCATAGATTAATTAGAATTAATTTGGTGACTTAAAGAGATTAATTAAATAAGAGGGTATAATCTGTCAATTGTTTGATAGTTACACTTTAGACTATAAATCCTTATCCTAGATAGGATGGACGATTTCTAGGGCTTGGATAAGCCAAAATCGTCCATAGGGTTATCAAGGAAAGGATATGGATCAACTTAAAGTCTAAGTTATCCAATTAGGGTTTAGGTTGTAACCCTTAAGGAGTCTACAAGTATAAATAGACCCTAGGGATGAGGGAATTCGATATACCATCTAAAGTAGAGATACTCTGGCCGAATTCCTCCCCTCTCCTCTCTCCTAAATCATCTTGCTTGCTATTGGTGTTTGTAAGCCATTAGAGGAGTGACATTTGTGACTCTAGAAGCTCCAAGACAACAAGATCAACAAGGAACTCAAAGGTATGATTCTAGATCTGTTTCAATGTTGTTATTTAACCTAATTAGCCATTAGAAGTCTTGGATTCAAAGCATGTTTAATTAGAAAGCCTAGATCCGAGCATTAGGGTTTTGCATGCGCACATAGGAAAGTTCTTATGGCTAAAACCCATCAGTGGTATCAGAGCCTAGCTTGGTTTTCTTTAAATTGTTGCTTGATTAACTGAAACAAACCTGCAAAATTCGATTTTTGGGTTTTGAGTCATGACTCGGCGAGTTCCAAGTGGACTCGGCGAGTAGGCCTGACTCGGCGAGTCCCTTGTGTACTCGGCGAGTCCGGGTCAGGATTAGGCAAAACCGGGATTTTTTCATGTTTATCTTATGGAAACTTACCTTAATCATATTAGATCAACCCTAATCCGATTTTTTGATATATATGACTATATCTTGATCTAATTAAAGATATTTATCATCTAATAAAATATTTAATTTCCTTATGTGATAAATGATTAATTATTTTGATAATTATCTTAAAAGAAATCTTGGATAAATCAAATAAAGATAATTAGGATATTAATTGTTAATTGGAATTATTTGTTATTTGATCCTTCATGTTTTAAATGTTTAAAACCTACCCTAAAGTTTTGAAATTTATATTTGTGATTAAAAGTTTTAATTTAGACAACTTAAATTTCAAACCCTAGATTTTAAAAGGTTTAAAATACAACCTATACTATAGATATTACTAGAATAATATATATATATATATATATATATATATATATATATATATATATATGTATAACTAAATGCTAGTCTTACCGTTAGTAGGCCTCATTCACGAAGCCGATCTATAAGGTGGGTATAAGGTTGCGGCCTATAAAATGGCGCTTAATGGGTGTACACTCACACCCACCGCTTGCTTGATTGGTGGAGGGTCGTTAGCCGAACGGGTAGGATAGGGCAACCTCATCTCTCATTAAAAGTATAATAAGAAATACAAAGTAACTACACGTTTTAAAAATTTCCCAATCTTAGTTACTTTAGGAAAAGTGAATTGATGCAATCCCATGAAATTACACTTTGCACCTTGCTAAGAAGTTAGTGGAGCGTGTGTGGTTTACCGGCACACTAATTGGTTCTAAGCGAAGGTGGCAAAGGGTGATTCATTGTTTATCATAGTTCGATGGAGCGTGTGTGGTTTACCGGCACATCGAATAGGTGATCGTTACAATGAAGGCACCATGTGAATTTGCATGGTAATTCACACCCGCTTTGTGATCCTCGGCATCCCAGTCACAAACAAGAGGGGCATATCGAGATTTAAACATGCCATTGAATAGTTCAATGAATCTCATCCGAACCTAGGAATTCTCAAAAACACTTAGGACTAATAGTTTAAGTTTTGTAATGGAGAATTAGTGAATCGTCATTCACTTACCTTCAATTTATTTGCATGTTAGATTACGGCATCCCTTTTCTAGTATGTAAATGTTATTGTTGGATCCTAGCCCTAATTTTTCTTATTGGGTGATAATTAGGGATTCTTATTCTAATCTATCTTTGTCCTTTCTATAGATGTCAACGCAAACAACGCTGCTGCTAGTTCTTTCACGTTGATGAGCCTTTGCCAAAAGGTCACCTTCGATGGAACGAACTTTAGCGAATGGATAAGATACATTCGCACCATTGCTCGCTATGAGGATAAAGAGTATGTCCTCGATGAGAAGCTCGAGAAAATCAACCCCGAAGTTGCTACTCCGCGAAATCACCGCCTTTGAAACTCATGAGCGAGATGCAACGAAGGTACATTGCATCATGATCGCCACCATGAACTCCGAATTCCAAAAGTCCTACGAGGACATGTATCCATACGAGATGCATCAAGACTTGTTGGAGAGATACCACCAAAACGCGAGACAAGAGCGTTACGAGATTTTCACTAACATGATCTCCGCTAAGATGGGTCATGGAGAATCTCTTACCGTGCACCTGCAAAAGATGCAAAGGTATGTCGACCGCCTTCGCAAGTTAAATGTTGACTTCGGTGAAGACTTGGCGATCGACATGGTGCTTCACTCTTTGCCTCCGATGTACAACCAATTTAGGATGACCTACCACATGAACAAAGAGGAGGTCACCCTAAGCAAACTCCAAGGTCTCTTGAGGGTTGCTGAGAGCAACTTCAAGGACAAGTCTGTTGCACCTACTCCCAATCCGTCCGCTGCTCCTGTCTTGGCTATTGGTCAAGGGAAGGGAAAGAAGAGGAAAGCTTCATCGAATAACTATCGCAAGGTGAAAGCCCGAGATGGTGCCTCTTCTAGTGGGACCAAAGTTGATCCCTCTAAGCCCTGCTCCAACCCGAAGGAGGCAGAGTGCCACCACTGCCACAAGATAGGACATTGGAAGAGAAGCTGCCCGGATTACCTGCAAGCCATCAAGGAAGGAAAGATCAAGCCATCTTTCGCAGGTATATACACAATCAAATCTAACGATTCTAATCATGCTATTTCTTGGGTTCTTGATACCGGTTGTGGTTATCACATTTGTTCTAATGTGCAGGGACTAAGAAGAAGTAGGGATGTAGAGCAAGGAAGGATCAATCTAATCATGGGGAACAGAAGATCGTCGCCTGTGACCAAGATTGGAGTGTATTCTTTAGTGCTTAGGAATAGTTTGTTTTAGATTTGAACAATTGTTGCTATTCGCCAGAAATGGCTAGAAACATCATTTCATTTCATGGTTTATATAGACAAGGATTTAGATTTTCTTTTAATAATGAGAATGGTTCTATTTTGGCTTATCTAAATGGTGTCTTTTACTTTGAAGCTATACCATGTAATGGAATATATGAAACTGTTATGATTGTTGATAACTTAGGAAATGATGTTTTGAATATTGATTCTTCCACTAGTATGGATAAAGCATCCTTGTGGCATTGTCGTCTTGGACATGTCAACAAGAAACGCATAGCCAACTCCAAAAGGATGGAGTGTTGGAGTCATTCGACCTTAGGGAAGATGACACATGCGAGTCTTGTTTACTTGGAAAGATGACTAAGTCACCCTTCACGAGTACTTGTGAAAGGGGTGAGGGGCTATTGGACCTAATACATACCGATGTATGTGGACCCTTTAGATCAACCACGAAGGATGGGAACCGCTTCTATGTGACTTTTACCGATGACTATAGTAGATATGGGTATATCTACTTAATCAAGCAAAAGTCAGACACCTTTGAAAAGTTCAAAGAGTTCAAGAATGAAGTGGAGAATCAATTGGGCAGGAAAATCAAGATGCTTCGATCCGATCGAGGAGGAGAGTACCTAAGTCTTGAATTCCACGATTATCTCAAGGAGTGTGGAATAGTTTCGCAATTGACGCCTCCTAGGACACCGCAGTTGAATGGTGTGGCAGAAAGGCGTAATCGAACCTTATTGGATATGGTTCGCTCTATGATGAGTCGTGCTTCACTACCTATCTTCTTTTGGGGGTATGCCTTAGAGACTGCCGCCCATATCCTTAACCGAGTCCCTACTAAGAAGGTTGCCAAAACACCTCACGAGATGTGGACAGGGAAAGCTCCCTCGTTGGCACATATCAAGGTTTGGGGTTGCGAGGCTTTCGTAAGACGAGATACTCACGACAAGCTTGAACCTCGAAGTGAGCGATGTATTTTCATCGGCTACCCGCAAACATCCTTTGGATATCTCTTCTATAGACCGAAAGACAATGTTGTCTTTGTTGCGAGGAGAGGAGTTTTCCGAGAGCGAGAACTCATAAGCCAAGGAGACAGTGGGAGGCAAATCGAACTTGAAGAGATTCAAGAGTCGATAGATGAAGGAACCTCTACCGCTGGCATTCAACCCGAGGAGGAAACTCCGGTTGAACCGATTGACGAATCCTTACCTCTTAGACGTTCCGATAGAGTTAGAGTTCATCCCCAGTTTTATGGTTTTCATATTACTACCGAAGGGGACACGTATATTAGTGATGGTACACTAGTAAATCTTGATGAACCTAATAGCTATAAGGAAGCCATGGCAGGCCCGGAGTCTGCGAAATGGAAAGAGGCAATGGATAGCGAGATCCAATCCATGTACGATAACCAAGTTTGGAATTTGGT